AGAAAACCTTCCTATAAGGAAAAGTTTCAACTTGATGGCTTTACCACAGATACTTAAGTAAGAAATAATTCTGATCTAACCCAACACGTCCAGAGAACAAAGAAGCTTGTTTTATCAAACTAGCATAACTTTGACACAAAAATCTGACTGAGAACATTATAAAATAGGAAGATAACAGGTCAGTCTCTCCCTCTTCCATCAGCACTTGCAAAAATACTAAACAAAATAGTAGCAAATTAAATCTAGTGATACATGAAAAGAGTATGTATGACAGGTTACTAAGTTGCAGTGATTTCAGAATGCAAGGTTGGTTTAACTTAATTTGAATAAACAATTTATTCACTATGTCCCAATAGATGGGAAATTCTATTTTTACAAAAACAAAAACAAACAAAAAAACCCCAGCAAATATTCTTAATGGTGAAATGTGGAATGCTTTCTCTTTGAGATGGGGAACAAGATTAGGATGCCCATTCTCACCACTTCTATTCAGTAACCTGTGTCCTAGATATTGTGGGGGGCAGTGGGGGTTGGTGGGCAGGGAAGAAAGGAAGGGGTAGAGGTAAAAAGGGAGAAAGAAAAAGAAGGGAAAGCAATAGGATTGAAGAAGCCCAGGCCCTGCCTCATGCAGCTAAATCTGGATTTCTGGGGGTAAGACCCAACCTGCAGCCCAATTTAAGAGCCAATGCCCTGACCACTTTTTGTAAGTATATATAAGGAAGTGTCATGGTGGCGTCACAATCACTTTATTTTTCTTTTGAAGAAAATGGTATTTATTTCTGAACACGGTCTTCCAAAGAAAATGTTTGCTTATTTGAGTTGGTACTAACTTGAGGTTGGTGTTTTTCTATTATCTACTCCAATATCAACTACTCTGTAAATGGAAATAAATACATAATGTATGCCACATAGTAGACACTCAGCTGAATGATTGTTCTGATCAATATAATGCTATATAGTGTTACATAAAAGGTAATATTCCTTTTAGCATTACTATTTTTTGTTAAAACTGTGGGCAGAACAAGATAACTCTTCTTTGACTCAGAAGCTCTACCTATAAAATTATTGGGCTAAATAGCAGTTATTTCCAAGGAATACATTTGCTAAAACTCTTTCTATTTTGAAGAAGACATAATCGTGGCCTTTTGGTAACACTGTAATTTTATCATTTTGCCTCAATATCTAATAGCATTAAAACAATTACTGTTTTAAAAAGTGATAAGGATTGGAAAGGAGGAAATAAAACTATCACTGTTTGCTGATAACATGATTATATACATAGAGACTTAAATTTACAGATAAATTAGAATTAATAAGTTAGTGAAGTAGCTACAGACTGCAGTTATCTTTATACCAACAACAATCAGAAAATAAGGAATATTGAAAAATTCAATTTATATTAACACAAAAATGCCACACACCAGTGTATGAGTCTAACAAAAAGTATGTAAGATCTGTATACCAAGAACTATAAAACATTGAGAGAAATTTTAAAAAGAAATGAGTAGGAAGATACGTACCATATTCATGGACTGGAAGATTCAGTATTATAAAAACTTCTTCCCAACTAGGTCTGTAGATTCAGATTCTAACCATTTCTAAATAAGCATCAACAAGCTGATTATATACTCTTTATAGAAATGCAAAAGCCAGTCAAAACCAAGACAGCTTCTAGAGGAAGGATATCATTCTCCTAGATGTTGTGACTCATGTAAACCTGGAGTCACAGAGATAGTCTGGTCCTAGAACAAGGACAGAGAAATTGAGCAATGGAGTCAAGACAGCTCAGAAGCAGGCCCACATCTTTGGACACATCTTTGGTTGACAAGAAAGGTCCGATTGCCAGACAGTGGAGACAGGATGGTCTTCTTAACAGAAGGAGTTGGGACAGTAGGCTGTCCACACAGGGAGATGACCTCACACCACACACAAAACTCAGTAACAAGTGGCTTGTGAATCTCTAAGAGGGAAAACAGTAAAGTTCCTAGAAGTAATAAGAGGCAGTATCATTATGGCCCCCACGTAGAATATACATGTTCAAGTTCCACAAAATATGCAAGTGGGAAAGACTGGCTAAAAATTGGTTAAATTTGACTGTATTAAAATCAAGAACTGTTGTTCATCAAAAGACACCACTAATTGAGCCCACAGGCAAGTCACAGAGCGAGGGATGTCTGTAGTACAGATTGCCCCCAAACAATTCTCTACCCAGCATCCATGAAGAACCACAAATTAAAAAGAAAAGAATGACAGCTCTGTAGAAAAGCAGGAAAGAGACTTGAACAGGTGTGCCCTGAAAGAAGATACCCAGATGGCCAGTGAACACAGGAGAAGGTACTCGATTGAATTAGATATTATCAGGAAAATGCAAATCAAAACCACACTGAGCTATCACCTCACACCTGTTAAGATGGCTGCTCTCAAAAACAAAGGACAGGGCCGGGCGCGGTGGCTCAAGCCTGTAATCCCAGCACTTTGGGAGGCCGAGACAGGCGGATCACGAGGTCAGGAGATCGAGACCATCCTGGCTAACACGGTGAAACCCCGTCTCTACTAAAAATGCAAAAAATTAGCCGGGCGAGGTGGCGGCGCCTGTAGTCCCAGCTACTCGGGAGGCTGAGGCAGGAGAATGGCGTGAACCCGGAAAGCGGAGCTTGCAGTGAGCTGAGATCGCGCCATTGCACTCCAGCCTGGGCAACTAAGCGAGATTCTGTCTCAAAAAAAAAAAAAAAAAAAAAGGACAGCAAGTATTGGCTAGGATGTGGAGACAGGGCACCTTTGTGCAGTGTGGTATAAATTAGTACAGCCATTATGGAAAACAATGTGGACCTTCCTCAAAAAATTAAAATAGAACTACCATATGATCCATCAATCCCACTGCTGGGTATATATTCAAGATAATTGAAAACAAGGTTTGGAAGAAGTATCCGCTCTCCTGTGTTCACTGCAGCGTTATTCACAATAGCCAAGATATGGAAACAGCCTAAGTGTCTATTGACAGAGGAATGGATAAAGAAAACGTGATGTGTTTGCACGGTGGAGTACTGTTTAACCACGGAAACAAGGAAACTGCCATTTGCGACGACATGGATGAACCTGCAGGACATTATGCTCTATGAAATAAGCCAGGCACAGAAAGACTACACGGTTTATTCCTCTCATGTGCGGTATCTAGAACAGTCAGAGCCAAAGACAATCAAAGCAGAGAGCAGAATAGAAGTTGCCAGCGGCTGGAGGGAGAGGGAAACGGAGTTACCAAGTTCAGTGGACATCAAGTTTCAGTTGTATAAGCTGAGGAGGCTCTAGAGCTTTGACACACAACATCGTGCCTATAGTTATAATAGAGTATCGTGCTTTTAAAAATGTGTTAAGACAGCAGATCTCATCTTCAATGTTTTTTCCACAATTAAAAACAATAACGAACCACAATGAGACGCCATCACACGGTCCTAGGGGTGCTCAGAGGCTGCCGATGGTGGGGGCATTGACTCCGCTTGGGGAAGCAGCTTAGCACCCCTACATAAGGCTAAAGGGGATTGCAGGTCCCCACTGGCGTGTGCCTGGCGGGACACGGGCCCGCGCACACTGTGCCTCAGTTTTAGCCGTGGTCCCACCCGGCCACAGCCCAGCCAGCACCAGCACAGAACGGATGTGTGCATCGTGGTGCAGTTGTGCAAACACAACAAGGACACATCTCACAAACACAGGTGAGAGCCCAGGCGCCAGAGAATAGAGTACCATTGCATTGATAGAACATGCAGCCCTGGACCATGGTGTTTAGAGAGACAAACGGTAAGGTCGGAAAGAAGAGCAGTGGAGGAAATGCTTGTCAAATTAGTTTACCTTTGTTGGGCCAGGCCGGGGATGGGGGCCAAGGGAGTCTGGGGGCACAAGGGAGGGCATCAGGGCCCTAGTAATCTCCCCATTCTTCCCTTTTATTTTTTAAACAGTTTTCTTTTTTTGTGTGCATTTTCTTTGTGTGTTTTAAAAAGACAAAGTGGACTGGGCATGGGGGCTCACGCCTGTAATCCCAACACTTTGGGAGGCTGAGGCCGGCGGATTGCTTGAGCCCAGGAGTTCAAGACCAGCCTGGGCAACATGGTGAAAGCCAGTCTCATATGAAAAACAAAAATTATCCAGCTGTGGTCCCAGCTACAAGGGAGGCTGAGGTGGGAGGATTGCTTGAGCCCGGGAGGCAGAGGTTGCAGTGAGGTGAGACTGCGTTACGGCACTCCAGCCTGGGTGACAGCCCAGACCGTCTCCAAAAAAAAAAAAAAAAGGTTGGGTTGCAAGTGAGGAAAACTGGGCTCCAAGGCCAATTAAGTTTGAGAAACACTGTCCTGCCACCTCTCAGATGCCCGCAGTCCTAGTGAGCCTGGTGGAGGCTCCGTGAGCTCCTGTACAAGGCACAGTGAGACTTGGTTAGACTGCTGGGGTTCTGGATTCCTCCCACAAGGTCACTGACCAGCCCTGGCTGCGCTTCTGACCATACCAAAGACTGGGGGTCTGAATCTGAAGGCTCCAGGCTCCTGCACACTCCTGGGCATGGAAGTGTGTACAGCTCACTACTTAAACTCTAATTTTTAAATTTCCTTGAATAACTTTTGTCCAGTGCAAGATAGACAAGAGCCGTATCTTTCCGGAGCTGTCCGTGCAGGTGACAGACCGATGACAGGCAACAGCCGCAGCTGATGGTCCCATGCTGCAGAGGACACAGAAGGAAGGGTGGTGCTGGTTCAGCTGCAAGGGACACTATGGGAACCGGGACCTGGAGTTGTGCAGCTGGTGGCCCAGAGACCTGTGGGAGGGGTTACAGGAGGCAGCAGCCGGCGCTGGGCTGAGCTGCAGGCAGGCAGGAGCCTGGTGTGTCAGGAAACAGAGAAGACCAGCACGCTGGGGCCGTGGCCAGGCCGTGTGAGGCATCTTTTTAGCCAGGGAAGAGACAGGTAGATAGGAACTGGAGTACCCTGGTACAAAGGCATTTTCCCCATTTCTTCTAGATCCAGCGCCCTATAAAGACCAGCTGTCCTCAAAGGAACAACCCGGCTTTCTAGCCGGTCAGCAGCTCCTGAGCCAGGCAGGCCCCAGCAACCCTCCTGGGGGGCCCCCAGCCCCTTTGGCCCCCTCCTCCCCTCCTGTGACTGCTCTGCCCCAAGATGGAGCAGCTTCAGCCACCAGCACCATGCCAGAGCCAGCATCAGGAACTGCCATCCAGGCAGGGGGTCCAGGGACCCCTCAGGGGCCGACCAGTGAGCTCGAGACTTCTCAGCCACTAGTGGAGACTCACGAGGCCCCGCTTGCTGTGCAGCCCGTCGTGGTGGGCCTAGGACCTTGCGCTCCAGCTCCAGAGGCTGCCTCAACCAGGGAGGCCAGTGCCCTAGGGGAGCCCCTGCCAGCTCCTGCACCTGAGCCCAGCCCCCACAGCGGGGCCCCACAGCCCGCCTTGGGTCAGCCCACTCCCCTGCTTCCTGCCTCAGTGGGGGCTGTCAGCCTGGCCACTTCTCAGTTCCCAAGCCCACCCCTGGGACCCACCGTGCCCCCACAGCCACCCTCGGCCCTGGAGTCGGATGGGGAAGGGCCGCCCCCCAGGGTCGGCTTTGTGGACAGCACCATCAAGAGCCTGGACGAGAAGCTGCGGACTCTGCTCTACCAGGAGCATGTGCCCACCTCTTCAGCCTCAGCCGGGACCCCTGTGGAGGTGGGCGACAGAGACTTCACCCTGGAGCCCCTGAGAGGGGACCAGCCCCGCTCAGAGGTCTGCGGGGGGGACCTGGCCCTGCCCCCAGCACCTAATGAGGCGGTTGCAGGGCGTGCCCAGCTGCCCCAGCCCTTGGTGAGTAACTGCCTTGTCCCAGAGACACCGCCCTGGGTCAGGGGCTGGAGCCCAGGCGCGAGCCCGGGGGTGGGCAGGCATCTCGACTATGCAGAGCCACCCTCACTCAGGGCCTGTCCCTCTCTCGATGTCCCACCCACGTGTGTCTGACTCACCCGTGCATGTTTTGCAACAAGTGGCCCCTGTTTGGGGTCCTGCTTGTGCAGCGTCAGGTGACACAGCCCCATCCATGCACACAGAGGGACTGGGACAGCCCAGGGGCAGCTTGAGACGAGGGGAGTGGATTTGCAGATACAACTGCTGAGATGCTGACGTGTGAGTCTCACAGCTCTTCTCTTTTTGTGTTTCTTTCTCCAGGTGGAAAAGTCAGAACTGGCCCCCACTCGAGGGGCTGTGATGGAGCAGGGCACATCTTCGTCAATGACAGGTAACAGCTTCCTGCTGAACCCTGCGTTCGCAAGGTGCTGCCCAGCTTCCTTGCCCCAGAACCTTCTGCATCCACATCCTCATCTTTCATCTTTTAAGGGATAAAAGCATTTCTTGAAGATCCTTTTATCTGTAAGGGATCCTTTAGCATCTAGGGTGGGGCCCAGACACAGCAGGAGCCCGTCATGATTTAATTCAAGCTTGTCCAGCCTCTGGCCCGTGAGCTGCATGTGGCCCAGGATGGCTTTGAATGGGCCCAGCACAAATTGGTAAGCTTCTTATGAGCTTTTCTTTTTCTTTTTTTTTTTTTTTTGCAATTTTTTTTAAAGCTCATCAGTTATTGTTAGTGTATTTCATGTATGGCCCAAGACAGTTCTTCATCTTCCAGTGTGGCCCAGGGAAGCCAAAAGACTGGATGCCCCTGGCTTAATTAAAACCCACAGAGTTCTAGAAGGAACCACATGCTAACACTCCAGAGAGAGGAAGTCCTCCGGGGAAACGGATAAAGCCCTGGTTGGTGGGTGCTGGGATGCTGCAGGGACTTGTCACAGTTCCTGGACTCTCCAGTGGCTGAGGGTCTGCACACGTTCCAGTGGATCCACCCCAGCCCTTGCTTTTCTTCAGCAAGGTAACAAGATGCCCACAAAAACCCAGGCTTACTTCAGCTAAAGCCGAGCAGTGCGCTGGGGGGCCCTGTGACTGCTGGGAGCGCCAGGGCCAGGGCGGTCCCTGAAGACCTGGTGCAGGGCTTTCCCTTGTGGCTCCTGGCTGCCACTGCTGTCTGTGGCAACGCCTTTGCTTTGCTTCTCATTTCATTACCTGCCTGCCTCGGTGTCCCTTCTAAGGGAGCTGGACTGATCTTGTGAGGTCTGAGCTTCCTTCTCAGCCCGGGCTTTCTTGGGGGATGGGCACAATATGAAGCAGGATTCCCGTGGGCCTCCTCACGGAAACCTCAGTGCACCTCAGCCGCAGGTGGGACCCTGTAGTCCCGGGCCACGTTTATTTCCAGACTTTAAGAGAGCTTGTGGCAGCTGGCACTGGAGTCAGAAGCTGTGTACTCAAGGAACTGGTGATGTTTAGCCTGAGGAAGATGAGGGACGGGGCAGAAGCAAGAGTGCCTTTGCACAAGGGTGGAAACGAGAGGTGGTGTTGGAGTGCCAGCCCTGACCACGCTGGGCTGCGTGTGGCGCTCCTCTTCCTTTGGCCTCGTGCTGTGAGATGTGTCCGTCCCATGGGCCCCTTGGGCAGATGAGCAAACTGAGCTTCAGTAACATACAAATGCTATAACTTGTACTCCAAGTCCATGCTCTTTCCAAAGTGCGGAACTCATGGGGGAAGCTCCAAGGAGACGGATTCTAGTTTGGCAATAGTGACCTTTTCTGGCGGTTGGAGCCATTTAGAAGTGGAGAGAGTACATTTGACAGTGAGCCTCCTATCCCTGGAGGTGGGCACGGGGATGTGAGGAGGGGAGTCAGGTGTTGCCCACGGGTTGGGGACACGTGATAGGGACTAGATTTGGTCTCCTTGGGAATCTGATTTGGGTGTTGTTCCCTTGTGGGTTTCCAGTGGGGTGTGCAAAGGAGACACGTGTACATGTGCGGGCGGCCCCAACCTCCCCAGAGACTCCGTCTGCCCTGCCACCTTTCCCGCGGCCCATAGGTCTGGCTCATGCCCTGGCCTGCCCACGAGTTTCTTTTGTCACATGAGGGTCTCAGCTCAGGCGAGGCCCCCATGTCAACTTGCTTGGCTTTTCTGATTGCCTCTTCACGGCAGCCCTGGGAAAGCTGGTCGCAAATAGCTCCCTAGACAGAGAGCACTGAAACAGCTGCAGGTGCAGTGGGCGACAGTTTTTGAGACACCCTGGGAGCAGGGCTGGAACCCGGCCCCGTTGATCTGTGTCGTGGGACCCTCTCACATCAGACGGTGGGGCGAGACAGGGTGCTGGCCTTCGGGTGCACAGAAGGCCTGGCTGCACGAGGGTGCCCGGGGCTGACGCCTCTTCTCTTGCCCAGGTTTATTGGGCATCTGTCATAGAATGCCATGGGGCCAAGACATCGTGGTGTATTTTCAGTTCCCAAAACTGCTGTGAGCACCCACAGCTGGCTCCTCCCAGTGCCCACTCCCGTTGTCCTGCCTGGCTGGCGGCACTCCCGTGGGGTCACTTTGGGCTGCTTTGGGTCAGCTGTGAGCCATCTCTGCCTCTTCCTCCTCCTTCAGCCCCAGTAACGTTTCCGATGTTCCCACAGCAGAGGCATCTCCCAAGAGCATGCTGGGCTATGACAGAGATGGAGGGCAGGTGGCCTCAGACTCCCGTGTGGTCCCCAGCGCCCCCCAGGTAAGGGCGACTTGACGACCCCCTGGCTGGTTGGCAGGGTTTGCTCTGTGCTGATGCTCACATGAAACCTCTTCATCTCCGCTTTTTCCCAAGGATGTACCTGCTTTTGTGAGACCTACACGCGTGGAGCCCACAGACAGGGATGGTGGAGTCGCTGGAGAAAGCTCAGCAGAGCCCCCTCAAAGTGGCGTGGGCATTTCCACAGCGGGTGGCCAGGCCAGCCACCCCCAGACACTCGGCGCTCGAGCTTCGGGGTCCCCTCGGAAA